ATTACTTCTACGGAAGGTTTCCAGATGGATATGCGGAGCAAATCCATCTGGCGGAGTCAGGTTAAAAACTCTTTACCTTTGCCTGATCTCTTTGCCTCGAAGATCAGCTTGGCACACGTGACCAGGTTTTCACTTGTTTGCACAAGCAAATGGAAGAGATTCATCATCAGATTAACTGCTTCTTTTGAACAGAAAAAAATAGTCCCTGGATTCAAGTCGCTTTCTGAACCAGACAAGAATGCATTGATTTTCATTCCTCCTGAAACTTCTGTTAAAGTGGATCTGACAGCAGCGGAGAAAAGACCTCCGCACAACACCTCATGAGAAGGAACCGCGGGATTCAACGTCAGGCATGATTAGATAAAACTCTTCACTCACAGAAGCCAAAACAACTTGGTTAAAATCTCACATTTGCAACAAATTTTCCTTTTTCTGAGGAGCAGGAGGAAGAGGAAACCTGATTAGGCCAGCAGGAGATGAGACAACAATCAACAGGTGGTGATCTACACGATGATAGAATTTTGACATGCAGGAGGACAGGCGTGTTTGTGAGACTCACCTGGATGCATCAAAGCTGTCGTATGAGCCCACAGTGTAATGTCTGAAGAGCTTCCGTCTGTCAGCCCGGTCAGCTCGAGAATCTGCCAAAAATTCCAGCAGAATCATATCAGTGCCACAGATCAGTTAATGCTGACCTGAATATGCTGCATTTAATAGAAAGCGAGACACAACATGTAGCCTTTCACTTACAATCCCTTAAAAGAACTAAGCGGCTAAGATAATTAAAGAAGATAGTTTTGCTAAAACATTGCTATAAAAATGTCAAAAATATCAATTCAATTCAATTTCAATTCAGTTTATTTATATAGAGCCAATTCACAACACAAGTCATCTCAAGACACTTTACAGTTCAACCAGATCATCCAGTCAAATTGATTCAAAGTTTTCTCTCTAAGGAAAACCAGTTGATTGCATTGACTCATTGACTCAAATGCAATCCCTCACACTAAGCATGCTTGTAGCGACAGTGGAGAGGAAAAACTCCCTTTTAACAGGAAGAAACCTGAAACCAGAGCCAGGCTCAGTGTGAGCGATCTGCTGAGGCCGACTGGGGTTCAAGGAGACAGAAGCAGAGCTGATGATGATGATGATGAAATATCAAATTTTTTCCAACATAAAATGATAAACTAACAGTAATAAATCATGTTTAATTAACTCTCTAAGTAAAGATGATGCTACAACATTGGAAAACTAAGAACAAAGAAGGTCATTGATGGATCTTGGGCAGTGCATAATGGAGTTGCACTCTGAAACTTCATGCTACATTCACACTGTACGCGCTTTGTGCAGCAAAAAAGTGCCTGCTGTTGCCACGTCTTGTTGGCAACCAAATGGCTGGAACCGACCTCATCCTCTGGGCACCGACTGATTTTTAAGAGCAGAGGTTCATGCCTTAGATGCCGTCGCTGTTCTCTATAGTTCCATCTTAAATAAACATTTGTTAAACCTAACTGTTTCTCCCCCTTGAAAACTGGGTCCTTATGTTCTGACCCTTACATTGTGGGCTTTAATCCTGAGATGAGAGTCAGTGGCTGCTGGTCTGGGGTAATGGCTGCCTTGGTTGCAGCTGTAGTGCTCCCTCTCTCAAAACGAGCATTAAAGTTGTTAAGGTGTGTTTTAAAGAATGTGTGTTTGCATTATGTACGCTCTAGCCTATTGACACGCCAAATACGAAATTTTGGAGGCACAGCTGCTACCACAGGATGCATCTGGCAGTTGCTCATGCTGAAATAGTAACAGGCATGCTGAGGTCTAAATCTAGTGTGAAGGTGTCCCCAAAGTCAGTACAGGGGAGTAATTAACACATTTCCACATCATATGAGAGAAAACCAACAAGAGAACCGAAAGGAAAGCCCTGAATCTCTGAGAGCGAGGATACAGTGGAGATAGTGGTCTGATAGGGAATTAAATATTCCTTGGTAGCACCCCCTATGGACAGCATCGTGAAGAAGAAAATGCTTCCAGCTCTTGCTTTTCTGTTTATCTGGTGTTCTGCTTATGGAAGATTAACTTTTGACCCGTTGGTGACATACATGATGCATTTCTTCACAGAACAAAAAAGAAGGCGAGTTAAACACACATGACCTGGGATGACCCCTGCCCCCCGCCCTTATTCTCATGTGTTTGTCAGATTAAGCATCATCTCCTCCCCTCATCTTCCTCCCTCTCCATCTTTCTTTCACGTATTCTCTCCCACCAGCTGTCACACTTTCACAGAGACTGCGCCTCAACTGATCCGGTTTAGGTCATCTTTGCAGGAAGGCTGTTTTTCCGTCCTCTCCCTGACTCTGTTTCAGAACGGACAGGACGAGGATGTGGCTGGACGTTAAAGATCAGACAGATAAAGAGAAAAAGAAAGGATTACAAGATTTAAGCTTCCTTTGTTTTACTGAAAAGAACAAAACGTTAAGCGTTCATATCAGCTTCATATCGGGATGAATGAAAAGAAAAACAAGAATCTGACGTCCAACCATCACTATAGTCCATGGCAACGGCCAGCTGGTTTCTATGGTCACAGATCAATAGGGATGCAGCAGCCATGTGTCTCATCAGAACACAGAGTACTCGTGTTTGTGTGAAAACATGTGCGCCTGTTCCATCTGTGGTTGTATCACCGTTCTGTCAGCTGTGCATGTGAGCAGTAGCTGATTTTGCTCTGGGTTTCCTTCTAGGCCTGTTTTTACTCCTGTTGTTCTGGCCTCTTTCAGTCTCATTATTACTCTGAGCATGGGGGAAAGAGGTGCAAATGAGATGGGCGAATTACAACCGCATGTATGGAGCTGAATGTTTGCAGGCATTTTGCACATCTGTAACATAAATACAGTAGATGGAAGAAGTTGATCACTAGACTCTGAAATTTATCTTTGTACTGAAACACAGGAAACAAACAAGAACAAGAAATCTTTCTCTTTGTAGATGGAGTCCATGATGTGGTGCTAAAAGCAGAAAAGTTTAAAGGCTTTGGAGAGTCCCACATCAAATGTTGGTTGTTTCTCACATCCATTTTATGTTTAAAATAGAAACCATACAGTCATGGTCAAAAGTATTGAGAATGACACAAATAAAATATTTTCACATGATCTGCTGCCCTCTGGTTTTCATGTGTGTATGTCAGATGTTGTCATCGCATACAGAAATACAATTGCTGTCATATTATGAGTAACAAAAGCTTTTAATGACAAAATGAGTTAATGCAGCAAGTCAATATTTGCAGGGTTGACCCCTCTTCTTCATGCTCTGAATCAACTTCTGGACACATCCTGACTGATAGCAGTCCATTCTTGCACAATCAATTCTAGCATTTTGTCAGAATTCCTAAGTTTTTCGTTTGTCCACCCGCCTCTTGATGATTGACCACGAGTTTTCAATGGGATTAAGATCAGGGGAGTTTCCAGGCCATGGA